AAACTGCTTGACGAAATAAAAAGTCAATTTTCCAATCTAGATCCAATGAAACACAAAAGAAAAAATGTTGGAAGCAAATAAAATGCTGAAAAATATTAGCAATTTTTGCAAATAGAAGATTCTGAAATGGTTTTACCCCTCCAAACTCAGGAAACAACAAAAATGTAACACGGCAACGCTCCTTTTTTTCTACTAGGAAAGAAAGAGAAAATTTCTTCACACCTTTCAAAACCCTCATTTGAGGAAAGTAATAACATTCGAAAAGCTTTAATAGATGATGATGATGTAACCATTCCTGAGTCTGATCATCAGGCTTATTAGCTTACAATCCCAGGTAACTGAAGAATTAAAAGATTCAAACGTAAAACCAGCTAAAAGAGGAGATTAGAAAATCATAAATATTTTATTCTAAGCACCCAACAACAAAATGTTTTAAAATATATTTTAAATAAAAAAATGTTTCAGATTCTACTTTCAAAAATAAAGGTCTTTTTAGTGTACAGGATTCCAAAACCTAATAATGAAATTACGGATTCCATTATAAATCATGATTTGACATCTGTACAAGAATTATTTACTCCACAAGCTTGGGAAAAAGTAGAAAAAATAATTACATTGAAGCAAAACTTTTGGCGTTGCAATCATTGTGAAAGTGCAACGACTTTAAAAAATATGGTTCAGTGTGATGATTGCAGTTACTGGTACCATTGGAAATGCGTAAATTTTAAGAATGGGTCAAAAATTAAAAATTGGCTTTGTCCGGATTGTTTTATAAAGTAAAAGGTGCGATGAGGATTATGCTCCTGGCGATACCTCTATAAAAAAAAAACGCATCGAGATTCCTACCCATGGTGATGTGGAAACGGGATCAATATCATATTTTTAATATACATTGCTTAGTTCCCACATGTAATTAATTATTTTTAAAGAGAGCATTCATTAATTAAATTTAATTATTCCGATAAAATAGTATTGTAAAAAAATAAATAAATAACATTCTCAGAAATTAGACCATCCCAGGAGGGATTCGAACCCAAGACCATTGGATTAAAAGTCCAATGGGCTATTCACTGCCTCTACAGGCACACAAAGAACGATTTTTCTTTTTCTATGTATGCTGTTGGACTATTATTTTTGTTACTTTTTATTCATTTTTTAAATTTAATTAATGAATTAATATTTGAAAAAAAAAACGGTATAAACATCAAGTGTCACCCACTGCTAGTTTAAAAGATGTATTTGAACTGAATGGATGAATAGAAAGTATTTTATTAACGATCGAAAAATAGTGAACTAGTAGTAGGAAAAAAAAATAAGAAATAAACAACATAAAATATAAGCATTCTTCAATATAGTTAAATAAAAAATTAAGATTTTAATGAGAATTTCGTCCTTTTAAAGCCGCGCAATGACGCAATATCAGAGAAATCCTAATAGGTTAGGGCAATATCAGGGGTATAGTCTGTGATTTTCAATTTAACACATGATACGAATGTTGAGTTGTTACGTGGGGATTCAGATTTTATATCGAAATTTTTTACCCCAAAACACCAATTTTTGTTAAATGGATAGCTGGTTAAAGAAATGTATTGAACAAAATACTCAAGAACTATTGCATTTTGCTTTTTCTTAATTAATGAATAATTTGGTAAGAGTTTTCTCAACCCTTAAATGTGATTATAGATTCAAAAATAAAAAGAATATTTATCATCTAGTTATCAGCCCGTCATGCTAGAAGTATTGTTGCACGTTAAATTTATTGAGAGGTTCAAACGTCTTCTCATTGGTGTGGTGTAGAAGTTAAGACGGGGGCCAGCTCAGGTGTCATCATTTCATCACTTGATTATGGTTCAAAATTACGAGGCCCGTCGCCAAAAGTCCTCGTGAAGCTGAACAGAGCGCATTAATTGTCACTCTCTTCCAGTTATTGAGATTTTCATCGATTTGCAATTCTATAAACGATTTTTTAGAATATCTCTATATAAAAGCTAATAATTTTTATATAATATTATGTAGTATCTGTTTTCATTATAATCATTTGCTCATACTAAGGGAAAAAATATTTATTCGCTTAATATGTGTTCTTTGTACATTAAATTCTGTGCCTTTCAACTGCTTTTTCTAATTTGATCATTTATATTTTGTAATCAAATATTATTCCTTAACTCAGTGCCGCAACAGCCCTTAGAGAGCCAAGACTGCTGTGCCCATCTCAGTATATACGTGACCTTGGACGCTGATTTTGCGTGAGCAGATGCTTCTGATCATGTGGTCAATATGACGCGAAACTCCCAGTGTTTGGATTCCAAGCAGCATGGCACTCATTTATCGACCCACTGAAAGGATGAAAGGCTGAGTCAACCATGCCCAGCCCGCGGGTTTGAAACTCGCACCTGTGGTGTGGTAAGGCGTGATGCACTACTACTCAGCTTCAATTCAACATTGTAACATCTTTAAAATGTTTTATTTTGAGTGAGATTCAACGAGTTTGAAACTAACAATTTTTGTTCAAAATCTGTATGTCATCTATAAAATTTATAAAGTTTTTATTACATTTTATAGCATCAGAATCAATGTTAATAATTATATAAAAATTCTCTTACTTTTACCTTTTTCTATTACAAAGTGGTAAATGTTTACAGTCTTTAAAATCTTAAGAATAAGTAAAATGTGTATTATCAGTTATAATTCTTTCTTTGTCATATAAAGAAATTTTTGCATCTTAAAACAAATTTCATTAAGATGACTCAATGCCAAGAAATAACGTTCGCATTCGAAATAATCCAAGCAAAAAAGCATGCGTTATTGAATATTAGAAATCACTAATTCCGTACAAACTCACCCGCCCCACCCAAAAAATTTTTTTATTACTACAGTTAATAATAAAACTTGTTGTTTATTGAAAACTTAAATAGTTTTTTCAATGTACATTCCATGATCATACTATAATTTCAAATATTTTTCCTCAGTTCCTTATGTATATAAAAATAAGCTAATTTTTTAAAAAATATCGCTTAAAAAATCCCATTCACGTTTGAGCAAAGAAATTACATCGATTAAAAAGTGAAAAGGAGATATATTAGCTGATTTAAATGTAATCATAAACAAGTATTACAGACATGAAAAATTAAAAATAATATTACTTTAGAA